TGTACAGACCATTTTTCTGAATAAGAAATATTGCAAGAGGTATTTAAGATGATCTTTAAATATAATAATTGACTGGAAACAAAGCTTAGTGTGCACTCAGTGCGCACTAGTGCAACCAACCGAATTCGCTATTAGTTACCATGTGCAGCTTTTAGCTACGGCAGCTATTACTATTTTTATTATTTATGTACCGATACTACGCGATCTCTCCAAGGTATTTGGCGTGGAGTGTATCTAAAGTAGCTTTTCAGAAAGGGAATTACATTATTCAAGAATAGGCTGCAGGGAGCAGCTAATCCGAGTCTATAAAAAGCTAGTCTTCCTCGTTTGCTAATAAGAGGGTGGTGGAGAAAGGTACTTGAGAAGATAGAAGCCTCGTTTACTTTGATCGTGGAGTCGAAACGAAACGCCACGTGAAAAGGTTCACCGTGTAGTTTCACATCATTTTTATAACAGACGTGCCTGATAAAAATTACAGAGCACGAATTAGAATACGCAATGATATTCCAGGTCAAGAGGGAAGAATTTTCCGCGATAAAACTTGATACTGCAAACACAAACGAATCGCGTTAAATATAGTTGTAGCTAGAAATAGTCAATTTGAAAGTATAAATTTCAAAACTAGTATATATATCATTCGTTACTTAACAATGAACTTGTCTTTTTGTAATCATTTATGTTTGCAATGTGATTACCAAATTTCTACATTGTAGAGGAAAGTCCCCTATTATGGGAAAGCGGGGTTTCTGCTAAATTAATAGTCATCTGTTGGTTCCGCCATGAATTTATTGCCCTTGGAGTGAAATTTGTTTAGCGGAAAATTCGTTGTTAGATCGTGTAATCGTTGCGAAAAAAAAGATTTGTGATTGAATTTGGATGTTGAAAATCTGCTATCTCATATACTAGAAGTATCTCTATTTAACAACAGGGGACTTTTCTCTATATATAAACGTAGAAATTAATTGAAGATATATTAATAAAAAGTGAACCTTCAATTTTCCAAAATTAAACGTAAAGTCCCGAACAACTATATTTATATGTTGCATTGCAGCTTTGTATACGTTTTACGCTTGCACGTTTATTTAATACTCGCGATAAAGAATCGGTTGTATACTAAACAATATTACATGCCAAACCACTTCGCCATATCACACGTCTGAACAATGTATTTTTTTTTACTTTACAGTGGAAGTCAAGATGGTGCGTTATGCGGAAATTATCGCCAGTGGCAGGTAACGTCTCAAACCCCCTTGTCTTCAAACTGCAGTCGCTAACAACAGTCTAGCTGTTTTGTCGTACGTTTACCTCGGGAATGGGCTAATAATAATCTTTAATTAATGAGCGTTTGATAAAATTGTGTGAACGGCGTGCACGTGCACAGATTTGCGTTGTGCCACGGTTGCGTTACACGTACAGCGGAACGAAAGAAGGAAAAGGAAGGGAGCAATAAGATAATAAACAGGAAACATTATACACTCTCGAAGCGTTCCTACTTTTTGCTCCCGCTACAACGTTGATACGAGCGGTATCTCGCAATTTGCATAATAGACCCTCCCTCTTATCTCCGCTATGTTGCGTCTGCTTGGCAAACACCGTGCAGAGTACACCATAATACTTATTTTTATAACGTGTTCTTCGTTTTGATTTTACGGTCGAGGAGATTTTGAGACCCTACCGCGAAATAAGTGTCGCTTTAGCCTGTCGCAAGCCGACGTGCTGATGAAAATGGACTATTAATAAGTGTAGAGGGTTGCCAGTAATTTTTCTTAAATAAACAAAAGTGACCTGAAACTTTCATGCAACGGAAGTGTATTAATTGACTCCGTCTTGCATAATATAGCGATACATTGCGGATGCATGTATATAATCGAACGTATCGCATTTTATAACAAATTTGGATTGCGTATAATTAAACCGGTTAGTTAGCAAGCTTCGATTTAACATAGTTGAAACGCTGTTTACGCAATTGTTCGATATCCGTTTGTTTAAAATTAATTGTGGCGATTGAGTGACGGATTTCTGCATTTCGTGCGTTACAAATTGGTGGAATTTGTCATCGAAAAATTAATTAGTTCCACGTTTCCCTCCCGTCAAAGGACCCCTCCTGCTTGTTATCGATACAAAGGACCCCCCCTCCCTTCCTTGGAGCTTTCTAGGGTGACAGCTGGCACATCTGTTGCTGTGCCTGAAGCAACAAAAAAATTTCCAAGAACGGCTTTGCTCCTGGCAATAGCCATTAATATATGATCCCTGTAACTTGAGGATATTTTCGAACCGAGAATTTGAACGCTTCATAAATTCTTAGGTGAAATTTGACAAAGAGAACGTAAACGTACGACGAAATTTATTTCGAAACGTGAATGCACACGGAATTAATGTGTATGGCAAAACGTTGAATGCATTTACGTTAATAAATATCAAACGTCTGTCGTTTGTTAATTATACGCGTATTAATTTATTTACGCGCATAAGAAAACAAATCTCTTTAATTTAGTAGATGAGAGAGGCTGAAAACCGTCGTTAAAAAAACATTCGAAATGAAGATTCCTTTTCTTTTCGTTAACAGATTGCTTGCATTTGCAACTTTATGGGGACAGTAAGGACCGTTACAAGCAAGGCCAAACGAAAGCATCCCTGAGCTTGCAACACTTTCTGGGAGTGGAGAGTGGTTTCACCCTCGACAAAGAATCCAATACGATCGCTATAATTTGCCAAGATGTGACAGTCGTCCTCGCTTTCGATACGCGAGAGCGATTGATACAGTGGCAAGTTAAGATCTCCAACAATTTAGGCGAAGGTAAGTTGTGCGCGAATTATGTTATTGCGATGAAGAGCGAGAGACAGAGAGAGAGAGAGAGAGAATGCGCGAGAGGCATGATGTATATTATGGATACGCATAATATGCGAGATTCCGAGATGAAAATGATTATCTCGTATATTTAATACGCCAATTTTTCTCGACAGATCAGCAGTTCTTGATACTCATCTCCTCGGTGCCATCGAAAGCGAAGTTCAGTAATGGGCCGGCGCACTTGCACATTCAGGACCGTCGATTCTGCATCACCATCGGCGTGCCCCCCCGGCTCGTCGGTATCTGGGAAATCGCGCATCTCCGACGATACGGCGTGGTCGAGGGCAGATTTTGCTTCGAGGGCGGCTCGAGATGCGGTCGGGGGGAGGGGCTGCACGTCCTAATAACCGATCAGGGGGACGACATAGTCAAAACGTTGCAGTTGGCGGCTGAGGGGAAGCTCACCACAAAGAAACGATCGCCGCTTGGTAGAGAGCAATTGTCGTTGCAGGACAGTCCGGGGCGACGTCAGTGTTCCCGCGCCGAGACCAGAGCCAGCGATTTCTTCTCTTCGGCCGTGTATTCAACGTCGACGTACGAGGAGCACTGCGACAGCTGCAAGAATGAGAGCTCGCCGTATTGGTCGTCCACGGAGAGCAGGCAACAAACGGAGATCGATGGCGATTACAGCTGTAGAGACACGGTGTCCATTTCGGAGCTACCTGATCAACAGCCCGGTGGCGAGTGGCGTAGCTGTTCGCTCACTCGTCAGGGTGCGACGGGCCTCGAGAGGTGCGCGAGTTGCATCAGTAAACTCGGCACTGTCTCGAAATCATCGACCTTGATCACCACGACCATGAGCGGCATAAGCAGTCCCGCTGCAAGCACGTTGAACAATCTAGGATGTCACTTGCAACCCCGTACCTTCGACCGACTCTCTCTGTCCTCGTACAGCAGCAGCAGTCACGAGAGCGATTATTCCAGCTCGCAGCAAATCGAGTGTCAATGTGCGCAGTCGAAAACCGCCCAGTCTCAGGCAGCGCAGACGACGGCTCGCCAAATGTCACCGAGCCCGAGCACGTTACCGCCGAGACCGCCGAAACCGTCCCAACCGCCCTCACTGCCAACAACCAGCCAGTCCGTCACTGCCAAGAAGCCTAAGAAACCGCCGATGCCACTTCCTGCTGAACAGCAAGTCTGCGTGCACGCTAGGAAACCCCAACAATCTCAACAAGCTCAGCAACAACCCCATCAACCTCGCAGCGGCACTGCGGGACCCTACGAGAACTACGACATTCCCAAAACGATTCTAGGGCATCACATGTTGCTGGAACAAGGTCCGCAACCGGACCAGTATTACGATACACCGAGGAAAATTAAGGAATGCCTCACGCTGCCGAAAACTTATCCCAATTACGACACACCTCAGGTGCCGCAGGCTGTGGTCCTGCAAGGATGCGGTTGCCCGGCAAAACTCAAAGTACAGTCGCCTAGATCTTCGGGATGCCCTTGTCACAATGTCATGAGCTGGGCCGGCTTTGTCTTACCCTACTGCCGACGTGGCGCGGGAATCGAGCCTACCGGCGTCACGGTTCATCCCGTGAAGCTGTCGGGCGAGGGCAAGATGCCGGTAGTGAACGCCAGTGGAGAAGTTGCCATTTACGCAACGGCCAAAAGGGTAAACAAAAGCGAATCCGCCGACGGGAAGTCTACGGAGAACTGCGGCTGTGCCGCGGCAAGTAAATCCAACAATTACGAGAACGTCGAACCGGTGATAGACACGCAACCGGAAGCGAAGCAAGCGAATTACGTCAACATCGATTTTACGCAATCGCTGGAGCATTACGAGAACAGCAAGGATGTTCTAACGAAGAGCAGTATCTCGCAGGAAGAGATTGAGAAATTCGCGGATCAGCTGAAAGAACCAGCGCCCGAAGCGCCGAGCGACAATACTTCGAAGATTTGCGAGAAATGCGGCCACGCGAAGGAAAAGGAAAACGATTATTTAGTCATGGATCCGGATAAGCAAACCTCGAAGAAGCCCTTCCCTGCTTATTTACCGATGCAACCGGCGCACAACGCTTGTTCAAAGGAAATCTTGTCCAGGCTTTGCAGCGGCATCAAGAGTTCCAGCAATCCGACGTTATCGGGCTCCACGTTGCTTGAGGTGAATAAGAAGCGTTCGGACTCGGAGTATCGCGTGCCAGGATCGGCGATGTTGTCCAGCCCGTATCTCAGGCGTCGTTATCTGGACGTGGGTAATGTTACGGAGGCCGGCGGTAGTGTAGGCATACTTCTCAGGAAGCGATCTTACTCCGCGGAGTCCGCGCATTACTTGGACGATGAGAGCCACACTTTTCCGTCCACGCTTACCATCCACAAGTGCTCGAGCGAAGCGGACAAGAACTCTTTGGTGACCGGCGAGTCGCACAGCTCGTGCGTCAACTCCGAGAGTAAGATCAACAGTAGCCACGAGAGCGGGCAGATGTTGACGGCCGCGTCTCAGCCGTCGTTCATAAAGATCCGACGCTCGTCGTCCGTGCCATCCAAGACCGGGCACAATAGAGATTCCTCGAGCAGCAACGATTCCGGCGTATCCACCGGCTCGTTGAGCCACCGAACGGCGGAATTCGTCGAGTTCGAGCTGTCATTGGCGACACCCGCCGCCTCGACAGTAAAGCAGAACATGCTGTCGGTCTGCCGCAAAAGCCCACCGCCCACGTGCTATCACAGCAGCCTGCCGAGGAAGTCCAAGTCCAGCGATCCTCTTCGTGAGATTTCCTTCCAGTTTCAGAAGATCAAGATACCGACGAAATCTTCGTCTGCGGAGGCCGACATACCCACGTGTTTACCGAAGACCACGAAGGGCTTCAACAGCCCCGGTGAGGTCTCCAATACACCTTATATCGATTCACGAAGTACCAGCAGCGGTACCTCCGACATGTCAGATTACATCGAAACTTTGTCGTTGTCCTCACACTCTTCGTCCGATACGCCTGACAGTCTCAGGTAGGGTCTTAGTTGCAACTTTTGCAGAAGTTGTTTTGTCTTTCTTCCAACTTCTTCATTTATATATCACTCCGTCAAAATTAATGAAGCTGTATACTATATAATGTATAGTTTCTTACGGATTTATAAGATATTTAGAAATTGTTCGACTTTCTTTCAGCCATAAATTTTGTTTTGTATATAACTTGGTTATCGATTTATTGTTGGTCCAACTTTTTTTATTTTACTGATGGTTGGTTTTGGAGATGTTTTTTTTTAAATTGGATCTTCTCTGTGTATTATAGTCCAATAAAAATAAATTTAATACACATTGGTTTTACTTGGACCGTAATAGTTGGCAGATAATTCATAACGGTGCAATTAAATGCTTTTATTAAATTGCTTGTGGTTGCTTGTGTAAATAATATATAAGTGTAAATAATATAAGAAAATCGTGTGCATTGTAGATTAGGAGGCAGAACAGTAGCAACAACTCTTCGACCTCGTAGCGGGAAGGAATACTATAAGATTGATCGAAGTATCTTGGTAGAGCAGGGACGGATTCTCACAACGGCATCTGCCAATTATGCAAATATCACTCCAGTATTAGAAAAGAGCGAATCACCGTCACCTGGTTATATGAGCAGTTCACCCTTTGAGCAACCACAACCTACTCGTGAGCACTTTCTATTCCCCGAAGTAAGTACGACAGCCCTCAAGAAAATGAATCGAATCTAGATCGAGTTACATAACATCCCAATAGCAATAGTTTAAATACTTTGGCATGAAAGAGGCAATTTGTGAATGTAATCGCCTTATCTCTATATTTTTTAATTGATGTATAATAATTGTATTATATTTCTCTTATTGCAGGAAGCTTGAACGTAATAATATTGTTTGGGAAAAAAAGAGTTAAAAACTTCAAGTTCCTAGGAATTCCAAACAAAAAAAGAGTAAAAGTATTCACGGTAGAAATTATAATTGGGGCATTGTGACTATTTACACTATACGCGGATATCTGGGGTTACAAGCACTTTCGAAGTATCTATCATTCGACACATACCAATATATACGTAGTATAGTATGTCAAATAATCAAAAGTCTATAATTCTTAAGACCACGGAAGCGCTCTTTAACCAAATTCGGACATTCGTTTCAATGATGTTTTCGTAAAGTCTTCCTCTAAAGAGCACAATCATAATCTTAAAAAATGTAAAAAAAAGGAATATCAATCTACAAAAATCTAGGTACTAGCGTATAGTCGAAATAATGTCAGTAATCAAACACTTCCTACAACGACTCAAACAATTTCTAAAATATGCTCAATAAGAAACTAATAGTTTGTATAGTAAGAATCCTGCCCTAGGGTAAAAGATATGCATCTTATACTTTATATGGGTATATCGTTTTTTAAATACTTTCTTATTTTGTATGAGTATACTCTTCTATATAGACTATTGTACAGTCATCTTTAAAAAAATTTAATGAGATTAATAACTCTTAGAATTTCAAATCAGAGTTCTTAAAATTTTATGGAACGATAAATTAAGGTACGACAAAATTATAACATCAGATCATGTCCTTTTTCGATCCTACAATTTGAAAACGTTGAAGTGCTAGTTTATACTTGTTTCTAGATTTTACAAACTCAAATTGACAGTGTATAAAATAGGAGTGACTCCAATGTGACAAATGTGCAAAGTATTGAAAACATTGTCGTTGTAATCGATTTCTCTGTAATCTATGAAGTTTTAAGAATTCGTATTTGGAAAATACAATTAGAGACCATTTGTTTGTACTGATTGAAAAAAAATATCTATCCACATTCTGTACAACAAAAAATGCACTGAATATAGTCAGTTGCATAGCATTCACAGGGTTTTCCTACTTACAAGTTACTTTTTAAAGATTAAGATAAAATGTTACAGCCTTTAATGGTCTTCTTTCTAATGGGACACACATGGTGTGTGTAAATACCATAGTATCTGGGCAATCAAAGACGGCACTATATATAGATTATAATCAAGTATTTCTGAACAAGATTTACGAAATGCGTAAAGATCGAGTTGTTTCAGGATTTTGATAATCGCCAATATTTCTGAGTTTTATACAACATATTTTTAAAAATCTTTTACATTTCAACTGTTTTTATCAAATCTTTTTGATATCATGAAGTGAAATGACTTAATGCAAATGTAATGCAATTTTTCATCCTGTTTATACATTTCTTTTCATTTCACTTATTGTTGCATTGTACTTAAAGCGCATATACTTAAATATTTAATTGTGATCAGTGTGTGCTGTACACACATTTCTATAAAGCGTTTACCAAAAATATTTATTTTTATTCCATCGGTGCATATTCTATTTAATACATTAGGAACAGATAGATGAACTATGAAATTAATATCTATTTACAACGATTATTTTAACTCTAAAGCTATACGATATTCTATTTCTAATATATCTTTTTTTTTATAAGTTAGAAATATGCGTCCTTGAGCACACATTTTGTGCTTTTTTTATCCTCAGTTTTTTAGCATTTATCTATTTCGTTTTCACGAGAGGAGATTACAAATTTATGAGAAGGAATATAATTCATATAATATTGCACATACAGTAAAATATCATGCTGAAGAAGTTAGCATAATAGTGATATTAAACGCAATAATAAAACCTTAGAGTTATACATTTATAAGGCCGGTATAATTAATGCACAGAATTTTGTTTTATATTCGTTATACATTATTATACCTGGCAAGTAAATCAAATTAATGTTTATGATCAAAATCATGGATGTTGCCATCACTAACCAGTGCAGATTTGTAAGCATTGAACTTGCGGGACAATACATATTGTTAGATGTGTTACAGATTGCAACGGCATTAATAACTTTATACCGTAGCACAAAACAATGTTTCTTGATGCCTAAGAAAATAGAAGTTCAATTATTCAATTTTCTTAGATACTAGATATTTTGAAGAATCTTTATGATGCAAAATTTTCTTGCCGTTGCATTCTTATCACATCTTATATCATTCCTTAAATGACATATGGAATTATTTTTCCATTAGGCCAAACTTTAACACAACATTGCTTTGTACACGAGAGAATATTTTTTACTCTTAAAACTTTATCCGCTTGTGTTCTATATACACTGTTATAATAGCATTAAATCCGTAAAGTCTATTGCAATATGCATTAATTTAGATTAAAGACATCTAATGTTCTTTCACAATGTGGAAAGATACATACAACTGATTTTATATAAATTATAAAAGTATTAAAGAGTAGTATTATATTATACAAGACTGAGAAATAGTTGGTGTAATGAGTGGTAGAAAATATCTACAATACTAGAATGTATAATTTATGTACAGGCCTATGCGAAACTTGGAAATGGATCATTTGTAAAATTTTTGGTTCGTCTGTCTACTGAGCACATCTCAAAAAAGTTGGCGTCATTATCTACCATTAACAAACACGCAAACGAAAATATTCTTTTGGTCTTTTCTTTGCTTGAGGTATGTAGAAATTTTACAATAGTTAACTGCATCAAATAGACAGTAGAAGCCTTAATAAAATACTGTATACAAAAACTACTTGTAGAAAGTGATACTAAGACTCATTGAATTATGAGATAATTTGCGTATATCGTTTAGATATTTTACGCTTTACGCAAATATAACGGTATACAAAACAATTGAATTTATATTCCTCTGTAACTGGATTTTACGGCTCCAGGAAATTCATAAATTGTAATATCTTCAAAAAAGTGTATTCATAAGATAGAGAGCCGTCATTATATGTATACTACGATCAGTACGTGTGCGTTCGCGCGCGCTTACGTAAATATGTATAACGAATGTGGAATTGCATGCACTTGAGCAGGAGAGAATGTGTCGAGTGCTAAATCTTCTTGCATATACTAATTTATCTATCGGGAGTGATTTTCTATTTCGCTTAATTTTCTATAGGTTTTTTTATATCAGTGTACTCGAGGCATTATTGTATATGATGAAATCAGATTTATAATAATTTATATTTTGAATCACAGTGATCAAGTAACTTAAATTTTTTCTGTCTTAAGTATCATGTGTGAAGTAGAAAGTTACTCGTATAAACACGTGCTAGTCAAGAATCAAGTACTATATTGTAGTCATTATATATTTTTACTGCAAAGAAATTGTATATTATGCATAGCTTAAAAATTGAGCACATGTCTACTGATTCATTTCATTCTTGGAATTATTTCTCAATTTTCGAATTATGGACCAAATATTTGTTAATCTGCGAAAATGAGGAGAGAAATATTATTATATTTTATAACGATACATAATTTTATGACGAGTGATAATATAATAAGAGCAGATTAGATAATAAATAAGCATGGCTTAATTGTTCCAAACATGAACAAATTTTATTATTCTGTCCGCTCTTATCGCATTCTGTTCCAAATACTTGATACTAAAAAACTGCAACATTTATATTACTGTAATTTATTCCTAAATGTATATTCTTGTACTTTTATTTAAAATAAATACGTCGAACATATTTATATAAGATACATTTGAAGTACATGTGCTAACTTTTAAGCTAGAAAAACCATATCTAAGAATTTACTAATGATACATATTGATTAATTATGTATAAAAATATATAAAATTAATCAATATGCATATACATATATATATAAATTAAAAATAAGTTTCAAAGGGTATTACCGATGCTCTTATTCATAACCGATGTACATAGTTTTGGTGTAACCATAGCATATTAAATCTTTTATTTTGTGATTCAAGAATCTAGACATCGTAAAAGCGAATTTCAATTGTACATACATACCATGTATCACGACGAAATGCGCTCAAAATGTCTTCAATTTTATAAATTATTATTGAGATAATAGCGATTTAGTTACTCTGCGAATACATTTTATAATATATTGGAATAAGCACACTTAATCCGATTTATAAAAATATACATTTCCAAAATTATATATCCATGATAGAGAAAAGTTGGGTTTTATATTTTAAATTTCATCATTTCCCGTTTGTGTGTCTCATGTGTCTCGACATCTTTTTATTACTCTTGTTATAATACGTAAATGTCAGATATTCAGACTAGCCGCGTTTTATTGGATTATTGAATATGAAAGGGAGCTGCTTTAAAAATACAACTGATTCAAATCATTCCACACTCAATCGCCAGTACAGCTTTTCATATCTATTGACGATTATTAATTATGTTAAATAATTTTATTTGACGTAGTAGTAATGCGTACTTATAATTAGAAAAGAGAAATCCATTAAGTGATAAAAGTACATAATCGAAAAGCGAATAAAATCTATTTCCTTTGACAATCTGTTCTACAATAAATTTTTTTTTCGTGTTTTAATAACACGAGGGAAGTATCAATACTTGTCAGTGCTATCGTACTGCATGCCAGTTTTATGAAAAAAAAGATATTTAGAGAAATTTTACATAAGAAAAAGAATCGTCCATCAAAAACTAATTTTTTCCTTTTTACATGGTACAGAGTCTTAAAAAGGTGTATACTGATGGCAAAATGTTAAATAGCTTGTTCTTTGTAATTTTTATGAAGGTTGTATGGGCACTCAGATTTTATTTTTAAGTTACAATGGAATAAAGGAACTGCACAAGAAATGCTCAATATTGGAAAGAAAAGTGGATCCATATAAGTACGGATATTCTAAAGCGTTCGAAATAAATTATTAATTGCTATTTGTATATACCTTTGGTCTATCTTACATGGAAAAAGTTACATGGTGTAACATGTAGAACAGGCATTGTATTCTAAAACACTCTTTCAGACGACTGGTGAGACTTTAACTCTGTTATTGAGAGATTGAAAAGTATATGAAAGCCCTCTTATTTTCTGAAATCAATATAATGAAATTGTGTGCGTGTGTATCACTAGGCCATCCCGCCAGATCGTAAGAAGAATAATGAAATATAAGTAACGAGACTAACGGAGCTTATGTATTAAATCGTCGAACGCATTTCACGGAGAGGGTTATTCACTTCGAACTTTTGTAATCACGATAAGAAGATAAGCGAGAAGATAAAACAAATTATAATTAAATTACTATAGTGCGCCGTAAATAAATTAAAAACTCGTATACAGTTTGTAGTAGCTCAAGTCATTGATTTACTAAGAAAGTAGAAGAAATAAAGAACTTAAAACGAAGAACTTGAAAAATAATTTTATACTCTTGTTATTTCCATCATCTAATAGATCCACCCACAATTTTATAATATTATGAAACATTAATTTATGTGCAATAATGATGAAATTATTTGCAACTCGTATCTTCTAAGAATATTACGAGACACTTACACGAACATTATCTTATTGATCAAACATTCGCGCTGTATACTTCGCGCTTATTAGTTCATTAAATAAATTATTCAAATAATTTAACAAGGCAAATGTGCGATCTCAATATTTACTCTGTCAGCCCAACAAAGCGTGTCTCTGTCGACAGGCACAGTCGGACCTTTAAACGAAGGGTGAAAATTAGAATTCTTTAAATACCTTCCGCAAAGCTCTCACCTGCTTTCCTCGAGGAACCGCCGAAACATTTAAGTAAGGGACACATTGGTATGAAACCGCACTTGCTCATCGCTCGTGGATTCCCCGACGGATTTCCCGATTCCACGAAATAACGTGATATTTTACAATTTTATTATTTATTATATTTTTCTTGTAATTTCCTTTACAATGCACACAATAATATAAAAAATAATTACAATATAAAATAAAAAAATACAACATCTATACAACACAATATTTCGCTCGACGTTACATACGAAATATTCGGTATGCACACAATAACATGAAATTCTTAATTGCATGTTTGGGATTAAAAATATCCCGAATGTATTTCTTAACGATCTCTTAAAAATAAATCAAATCTACAAAAATTGTAAGTAAATTTAAAGTAAAAACTTAAACGCGCAACAACTTCTATCCTATTATATGCATCCGATTACAAATATAATTACATTTAATAGTAATACATTGCAGTTAAAATTTTATCTATCTTTTTAATTAAGCAGTAATGTCCCCCTGTCCCTGCCTACCTGAATCCCTACCTACCCGTATTCCGCTGTATAGTCTTATTAATTTTCCTATCATTTTCCTACCTACTCGCGTTTCAGTTAATAAATTTTTGTTAATAAACCTACGAGTCTTTCGTTAAAACCGCGACGCGATTTATAAGAGGTTTGGAGTATTATACGCGCGCGATTTAATAGGGGTCTTTTAAATCTTAGACATATGCTAGAATAAATAAAGAAGGAAAGAATATAACCCACCCGAATTTTTGCACATAAGAAGAAATAAACATATATCATACAACATGTTATTCACATAATTCATCAAAGTGGTCAATATTGACCACTCGGCGTATCCCTTCGTTGGGCCAGATTGGACATACCTTTTGTTGCTCCCGGCCATACAGTCTGGTCATTTTGACCAGAGATCAGGAAGGAAGAAAATTCCTTCCATAGTCGGTTTATCGTCACCGACAAATATTTCATACGGTTCGAACTGTATGCGAGCGTCGATCGTATAAAAAAAATGCACGACCACGAGAAGTTAATTAAAGAAGAAAATTAATTCAAAATATTTACTGTATAAACTGATCAAAAATATTTTGACATCAGTTATTTGCTCGAGAATAGCTGTTGACTCGATCTTCTAATTCAAAATTCAAGTATAGATACGGAAAAAAAATTTACTTCGCGTTATATATATTTTAAAATATTTGAATTATATTCCGCGGTGAATTAAAATTTATAATGTTAATAAAGTCAAACAATTAATAATTTCTGGGACTTTTTCCTGAAAAACGATCGCGAAAACCGTCCGCGAAAACCGACCGCGAAAACAACCGTAAAATTACGAAGATGCGTGCGACTGTGCATGTATTCATGCGAGACGCATCTTGAGAGTGTATCGCAGGGTGCACATACAAAATAAATGACGTGAGACCCAGAGAAAAGAGACTTTCCGTACGATAGGCCGACAATTGAATATTCCAGTTAATCAGTAATTTCAAACGATGTATGAAAATAATATTAAGTTTCAGCGTTCTCGATAAAATATACTGTCTCACGTCATTATATAAATTTTTATATAAATTTGTTGATAAAAAATTGATAGAGTACAAGAGATTAGCTCGACGAATATATTAATAATGTTAGTCATATTTTGCATGAAAATTACGGGACACCCAACCCTTCGCAGTTAAAATCGCGATCACTCCCTTTCATTAAAGCAAATGTATAAAAATAATTACGAAATTATGTAGTACTTTATCAATTTTGAGGCAACGGATCTACGAGATATACTAATTTATGTTCTACAATCTACGATCTACGAAATGTACTCTGGGAAAAAAAAGTCAGTTGCAACCCATTTTGGGGCCCACAATTGGTAATCGAATTATTTAGATGGTTCGTAACTCTAATCTGTTACGAATTTTATTCCGCGTAACTAAAAATCACAATTAGCTGTTCTATCTATATCCAAGATATTAAAGTAATACTAATCAATTCTCTCAATTAGTTCTGTCGATATTCAGTAATGCAAAGATAATTTTCACTTAAGTGGCAATAACCGACACGTTAAGTTGCTTAACTACATCAAAAAATAATTACGGTCAAAATTTACGATAAAAGTTTCACTTGAACCGACGAAAAATTAAAACAAAAAATAATTACAATAAAAACGGTCAAAATTTTTCCCAGAGGATCTACGAGATACACTAATTTATCATCTACAAACTACGATCTACGAAATGTAGATTCGTTGCCTCATTAAAAAATTATTGGACTCACCGTCCGACGCGCAGCAGCGGAGTTTAACTACGATGAATCTGTAACAGAAAAATAAAAGATTTCTATTAAAATAGCGTTCAAGAAAACTAAAATAGTGTAAGATACCGTTTATATGCGTATAAAACTTTTTATTCGGTTAGATATGTTTATGATTATTGCGCGAAAGTTGTTCCGTAAAAGCCGAGATTTTCACGAGAGTGAACTTTTGTAAAATTTCAAATTACTTCTCGTCCTTTAAGTATTATTTCGAATTTACGAAATTATGAACTGAAACGATGTAGAAAATTGCATGACGGCCGATGGCTGTCATGCAATTGTCTACATTGGTCGATCAATTACTGGCGCTAAGTAATTCTTTACGCAATGAAACGACTCGATAATACACCGGAGAAAAGATTAATTTGGCGCAAAACGAAAAATCACACTCACCATAAAGTTGCTCCGCCGG